AAATTAATTGCATTCCTCAGCAAACCCCACCCCCTTTAATCCTGAAAAGCAAAGCAAAGGTCAAATGGCACACAGCATCAACTCAGAAACAAAACATGCAGAGGCAAGCTTTTACAAAATAGAAAATAAACAGCAGGAGTTCCTTGTTGTTTCTTAAGTAGGCAGAAACCATTTCTGGTTATAAAGGACACAGACTATAAGGTCTCTTGATTACATTTGGTTAAAGTCTACAAACACACACAGGAAAACTGGAACATTGTGTCAAGGAATTTCTGAAGTAGTATCACATAATAAGAACGAAATCAGAAACACAGAATGCTGAAGGTTTGCAACCTCAGGCAAAAACTGTGAGTAGAAAACCCCGGGAAGTCAAGCAGTCCACAGTGCATATAACATTCTTTCCCCCTTCCAGGCAGGGAACCAAATAACCAATATGAGAAAACTTCCTGCAACTGAACAGAAAGATTTCTCAGAAATATTAGAGGGACAGAGAATCAAACTTCGATTCTTTCCACCAAGACAAACTAAGCATTTGCTTCTATCACCCTGAGTTAAGTATCCGGAGTCAATACAGTAGCTGATGACCTGAGAGCATGTAATCTCAAATCAAGTAAATCAAATATATTTTTTAAAGATGTGTTTACATAAGTTGACTTACTTGAAAGCTAACAAGAGAGTGTGCACACAAGAGAGAGAGGTTTTATACATGTCCCTGAAATGTTCACAAGAGCCAGGGCTGGACCAGGGCAAAGCCAAGAGCCTGGAAGACATTCTGGGTGGCAATGTCCCTCAGTGAGCATTAGCAGGAAACTGGATTCAGGAGTGTGTGGAGTGGGGACTCAAATCCTGGCACTGAGGTATGGGATGGGAATCCCAACTGGCATTACCAATGTGTACCTCAAATCATATTTGTTAATGTCCCAGATGATTCACAAATCAGTTACCTAATAAACAGACTTGCAAACTTCTACTTTAAGAGATACATAAATAATCTTTCTTGATGCTAAGAAATCTCAGCAGTGAATAACTATGCCAATTTCCAAAACAAGATTAAAAATCAATGACAGAAAGAGAATAAATCATTACTATAAGTTTTCAGCAATGGGAAATGTTAGCAGTTCTAGAAGCATTGCAAGAGGGCCTCATTAAATTAGGCATATTTGTAAAAAAGGAAAACAATGATGGGAAAAAGTGGAAGGTAATAACCACCAATAGTAAGAAACACATCTTGAGTCTTTATTGAGAACTAAATTCTCAGCATTTTTGTTCTGAGCATTTCTATACCAATTATCTCTCAAACTTAACCCAAAGCAAGTAGGTAAATCCTGTTGTTTCTTTATTTCGCAGATGGTAGAACTGAAGTTCAGAAAACTTACATAATTTGTTCAGACACTTTGCTGGAGATTGGGAAAGCCGAACAAAGATCAGGGATCTTTCTTATTCTAGAATCTACCTACTCCAAGGTAGAACAAACAAGCCAAGAGAAGCAAAAGTATCAGCTTTGAGACAAAGCACCCGTTGTCCCTTTTGGCTGGAGTGGCAGGGCTTGGGGCGGTAGGTCTGGGAAGAATGAGAAACCAGGCTACAAATACTATGATAGCAGGGGAAATCCACTGGAAGTCTCTGGGTAGAGAATGCAAGATATAGCTATATTTCACAATTGAAAATGATAAAAATCAAAAATGTGAAGAGTTTCACCCTGCATTAACATGAAAAGTCTGGCTTGATTACCACTTCATAAATCATTCAGAGCCAAGTCTCAACAGGCCAAAGCTTGCGAAAGACTCTACAGAACAGCCGCTGAGAGAAACTCAGCGAGTGCCTGTGACCCCACTAGGAAAGGAACTGCACATCCCTGGAGCTGTCCAAACCTGGCATCAGGATCACCCTGGAGACCTGGAGACCGTAACATTCTGACCCCACAGGCAGTGGCCACAGACCAGGACGCCTGGGGATCAGACACCTGCAGAGCCCAGACGGCTACCTCCCAGGCTGTGTTCATCACTTGTGACATGGAGCAAATACTTTCCCTTTCTGAATCTCCTTTTCCTCATCTAGAAAATGAAAAATTGACTTACCAGGTTTCCCAGCTTACACTTTTCAATCCTTCTTCCATTCCAACACACTACCCTTAAAAGATAAATTTCTGTCAGCAGCCCCACCAGCCAAGACATTGAACACAAACAACACCTCCTGAGGTCTGCAGTTTGTAATCCTCCCAGAATTAGTTCTGGACCTTTCTGGGTCAAAGGCTCACGATTAGTTCTGAAAAGTTTCTTTAAACGTGTTAGCTGTACTTTCTTAGCTGTCCCAACTCTCCCCATTCTCCTGGAAGATAATTTAGCCCGGGGTTATCTTTTTTAGTGCACACTGGATTACTGTTGTCAAAAGGATTTCAATGGCGTAAGGCAGTGGGACCACATCCAGATTCGTGTAGTGCTCCTTATCCTAACCGTGAGGAATGAGTGCCTGAGAATCCAGATCTGTCAGAGCCTCCATTTATATCTTTCTTTCAAAGTTTTATTTCATTGTCAAATGGTGGTTTGTGTATGTGTGTATTGGGGGCGGGGGAGGAGACAGAGAGAGACAAAAAGACATTTCAAGAAAGCTAAACAAATTTTGGTATTGTTGAGGGAAGGTGAATACTTTTAGAGTGAAGAATTATGTTCTATTTTTTTTTTTTTAGGTATTTACAATCTCTAGCCATCAAAAGCAGTTTTCCCAATGGCTAAAATTACTTCCTCCTTAAGAGATTATCAGTGTGGGCCTAGCGTGATAGCCTAACAGCTAAAGTTGTCAACTTGCACGTGCCAGGATTCCATACGGGTGCTGGTTTTAATCCCAGGGGCCCCACTTCCCATCCAGCTCCCTGCTTTCCCTGCTTGTGGCCTGGGAAAACAGTCGAGGAAAGCCCAAAGCCTTGGGACCCTGTGTCCATGTGGGAGACCTGAAAGAGGCTACTGGCTCCTGGCTTTGGATCAGCTCAGTTTTGGCTGTTGGGGCCATTTGGGGAATGAATCATCAAATGGAAGACTTCCTCTCTGTCTCTCCTTCTCTCTGCATATCTGACTTCCCAATAAAAATAAAATAAATCTTTTTTTTTTAAGTGAGATATTATGTGTAGTGTGAATCCAAGGAGCTTCACCTGTCAGGTGCAAAGTACGATGTGGGGAGAAGATGCAAAGCTTATCCTGCACCCAGCAAACTGCTGATAAGACAGATTAACGCATGAAGTCACAAATTTTTGAAAAAGCTTCATGAGCTAATCAGACAATCCCGACAGTTTCCCCGCTGATGCTCCTATGTGGGGTTCATTTCTGTAATCAGTTGTTTGCTAAAATCCTAAATTACTGACACCTATGGATTCACCCCCTGTGACGTCCCATCAGTGAACAGGAGAAAGGTTGACCAGCACAGATACCAACAAGGATGCAAATGTAACGACAGAATCAAAGAAACCCACATATGGACACTCACCAACCACGTCATTGCTTATTTTCACAGGATCAAGCATGAGTTTGTATTCCTTCTTGGAGCTAAGAAAAATTGTCCAAGATGCCTGACAGAAGTCTCAGCAGGATGGCCACCCTCACATGTCAGACTCCAGCGAGGACCTGGCTACCGGGACCACCCACATTCTGCTTTGAGAACAAGTTTATGACATCTCTGTCGGGCACCGCAGGTACCGTCTGCCCAGTATGGCCTGGTTTTTTTAGAGCCAACAAACCTGTGTCACTCCCCTAAGGAAATGAGTTATCCCTCATACATGTTTCAGCGAATCTAAGGAAGCAGAACATAAGCCCTAAAAAGTCGGGGGATTGCCCCTCACTTTCCGCCCCAGACACCAGTGTAGTGAACTCCAATATCTTACAGCATGTTGAGAGAGAATTGACTCAACTGTGATTCTGAGAATTCCACAGAAAATGACAAATCTACAAGAGTCCCACATTCCCCAACAGGCAGAAACCCGTGAGAGGAGCTGCAAAAGGCATATGGGTATCTGAACAGGGTGTGTATTTCTCCTTGCCTCCAAAAACCAGTCTGGACTATTGGTTGCAGCCATCATACAGTCTCCAAGAGGGCCACTGCGCCAGCAGCTCTTGAAGAGACTTCTGACATATTAACATGGAAAATCAGAATGTTTGGAGGAGAGGAAGAAATTCACAACAACATGTGGATGAGTAGAACTCATTCTAAATTCCCCTCGATGACGTTATTAAATAGTTCTTCCACACCACGGCTGTGGGAAAGATGCCAATATATACTGGATATCTCCTGACACTAACTTCAGGCAAGTTACACACACGCGACAGAACCGGAAAGAACACACCAGGCGTGTGACAGCCACCAACGGAGTCTAAAGCAAGTCTTCAGAGATGGGAAACATGAATCAAGGGAGACGGGAGACGGACAGGCACCCGCAGAAGGGGCACTTGCCTCACAGCGTCTACCCCTCCCAGACTCCCTTCTCTCTACCTTTGAACTCCACACTGTTCTTGTCCTTGAAGTGGAAAATAGAAACATTTCTTTAGAAGCGTACTTCCTATACTGTGATTTTAATATTTTATTTTTAACTTTCTTCAGAAAAGAGGTCTCGGACACAGTGTACAGGACATGAGGGAGTGGAGACAGAAGAGAAATGGATTCTAGGGGGGGCAAGAAAGCACCTGTGGGAGAAGCTGAACTAGACCCACCTGGGACAAAGCACGGGGTGAGTGCTAGCAGAACAGCCCTGCTCGGGAGGGTGGAACGGATGCTGAGAGAGAAAAGGACTTGCCCAAGTTCAGTGCAGTGCTGGTAACAGAGCTCAGCGCTCCTGCCACAGGTACCCAGGTTCACACGTGAGAGACAGAGACCTTGAAAGAGACCAGATCTGGAAGACTGGAGGACAGAATCCTAGTAGCAGACTGACAGGAACAGTAATGAGGGCTTCCAACGAACTCCGGAGCCTCGGCATGGGGGGTGAGGGTGTCGGGTGTGGAAGCGCGCGCTGTGGGTACCTTGACGTAGGCCCGTTGCAGGTAGTTGTAGGGCACTCTGCGTTGGAAGTCACTCCGCACATCCTCGCTGACCCGGTGGCGGGACACAGGTCCCCCGAGGCGCTGGGTCTCGCAGCTACGGTAGCAGCGCGCCCGTTCGAGCAGCGCGCGGAAGAAGGGCAGCTCAGCCCCGGGGCCGGTCCCGGGGGGCGCGAGCGGGCGGCGCGCGGCGCAGTGGCGGGTGCAGCGCGTGCGGATCTGCCGCAGGCGCCGGTGGCTGCTCAGCGCCGCTTCCAAGTCGCGCACCGCCTGCTCGTAGTCCCCGCTGTAGTAGGCAGCCACACCGCTGGCGTAGAGGAGGTCGAAGGGCTGCAGAGGCCCGCGCTCCGGCTCTGGCTCCCCGCGCCCGCTGTCCGGGGGGCCGCACCACAGAGGAGGCGGTAGCAGCAGCAGCAGCAGCAGCAGCGGCGGCGGCGGCGGCCAGATGCGCTCCCGCATCCTCTGCCGGGAAGAGGCGCGGGACCACCACGCTCCGAGACGGCTCCGGGGCTTCTTGCGTCCGGGCCCCCTCTCCCACCTCCTAGTACAAACACTCTGGCCCGGCCGCGATCTGGCTGCCCTCACAGGCCCAGGTGACTGCCGGCGCTCCGCGGACTGAGAGGAGGAGGCTCTACCCAGCCGGCCGCTCTTAAAGGGACGCCCACAGCTCACACGCTCCTCCTGCTGCCCGACCTCAGCGAGCAGCTCTCCCAGGCTCCTAGCTGCAGCGCCGGCTACTGAGTTGCAACCTTAAGGGCCAATCGGAAACCGGGCGCTTCTTGAAGCCAACTCCAGAAGAGGAGCTTTTGACTTGAGATTCTCCCCCACCCCCCGCCCCACTCCTTCTCTCCTTTCCTTTCTTTCCTAAGAAATGCTGAAAATTCAACTTAGGGTCCTCTAAGACCTTCGTCGTTTTCTCGATTCTACCCCACGATCTCATAATCTTCAGTGTGCTTTATCTTCAGACGAAGGCACCACAGGGGAGGTGCGTCCTGTTCATGAGGAGTATGGTTTACAAAAGTCGGGATTCTAGAGCTGAGAATGAGGAGTGGTCAAGCTGACTGAATCCTGGTCCTTTAGAACTATGGCTGCTACCTTCGGTGAGGATCAACCCCCCTCCCTTGCCTCCCCAGTCAGCTTCTGGGCGTGAAGCAGAGGGCATGGGCGCGGGAAGAACACAGAACACCGGCAGCCTGCTTCTGCTGTGCGCTCCTAGGCTTCCGAGGGCAGCAAGCACTGCCAAAGGAAGTGGAGCCTTGCCTTGTGCCTCCAGATTGCCTGCTGTGTACTCTTGCTCAGCTCCAGGGTTAAAACTCAATTTCCTTTTACAATCACCAAACGTCCCACCAAGTCAAATGGGATGCAAATATAAATTCTTATTGTAAGATGCAAACAACAAGGCAATTTAATAAACGCACCCCCCCTGGAATGTAAGTAATGAGTTTCCACCCAGGAATGGGAAGAAAGATGGAAATTACTTCCAGGCTGCAAGGAATAGCTGGAACACTTCCTGTCCTCCAAGTCCCCTTGACCATAAAATACCTTCCCAGCCAAGGTGTTCCTCTTGCTGGTTCCTTGGCACCAAGCACCCGGATTGATTCAGGCAAGCTTGTGTACTCAACTCTGGTGTCCAGCCTGCTGCCTCCTGGAGACATTTCTGTGGTTTCCGGTAGGGCCTGTGGGAGTCGCAGCAAAGTCTCCAACCACTGGGATGATGACCTGAGGGAAGGAGATGGGAAAAAACATCATTTATCATCTCAGTGATAGAAGTTTCCCAAAGAAGGCTTTTTTTTGTGGAATCACCAAGATGCTGACACGGCTGCCAGAATTTTTCTTTTTTATTTATGTGAGTGAGAGAGAGCATTCCTGCCCATTTGTTTATTCCTCAAATGCCCCTAATCAAAGGGAATGGGCTGGAGCCAAAGCCAGAAGCCCAGCACTCAATCCAGGTCTCCACATGGATAATTTGGCATCTACCCAATTACTTGAGACATGACCACTCCCTCCTCCCCAGTTCCCTGTCCAACAGCAAGAAGCTGGAGTCAGGAGCCAGAGTTCAGTGTCCAGTCCAGGTTCAGCCATGTGAGATGAGGGCATTTTAACTGCTGGCCTAAATACTGCCCCAGTTGCTGGAGGTTCATGCCTCATTCATTTTGTTCGACTTAATCACTCTGGCTGTGTAATTCCAAGGACACAGAAGAGTCAGGCTCTTGTTGTTTTTTCCACAAAACCTCACTAATTTATCTTATTCCACTGATGGAAAAACTCCAATTTGGGGCTAAACAATGAGGGCCTTTGGATATTCCATGCTACACAGAATTAGCTTTTGGGTCATCTGCCCAGACTTTGTCTCTAGGGGTTGTCTCTGCTTTCAGATAAAGTTTGGAGTCTATAATTAGCAATTCACTTGTGAAAAGCTTTGATGGATTGTAGCAGGGAATTTCTGCTATGGAATTCTAGGTAAAGAAGCTAGGAAGCTTTGCTGTATTATGCTTTTTTATTTTGTAACTTTGCCATGCTGTTTAATCCTCAACTAAGTCAGTTAACATCCCTACCTTTTGATTTCTTTGCTGAAAAAAGATACTCCAGAGAAAAGGGAGATGAAGAAATGATTGTACTTCTCTGTGGGAGCTTCCAGTGTTCTTTAGGAGAAATATAATTCACAGTACTGCAATGCAGCAGAGTGTGACGTGTGCTAGAGTGAATCCCCAGGGCTATAGAAGTGCAGAAGCTGACGTGGGGCTGTGCAAGGAAGGGTCTTGGAACACTTAGTGGATGAGCTGCCTTTGATATGGAGTTAAATACCTGGAGTTCAAAGGCATAGAAGTATATGGGTTATTCCCATGCTTGACATATACCCATCTAACCACCTTATTCTGCTCTGTACAATCCCTAACTGAGAAGAAAGCATTCACTTGCTGTCTCTCATTTGCCTGATCTGGAATAACCTGAAGAACTTACAGTACTAATAACAAGACATCACCTTGGGAGACTCATTTAATTGGTCCAGGGTATGTCTCAAGCACTGAGCTATTTTAGGCATTTTCCCAAGTGATTCTGACATAATTAAGGCTGAGAAATACTGGTTTATTGTCAATAGTTAGAAAGCATATATCTGAGACACAGAGCTAGGCAGAGTTGTGTGCCATCCTCAAATTTTCCTTCTCCAAGAAAGCCATCTGGTTCATCTAAGACTTGATTAAAACAAAGCCCATGACCATATGGTGATAAAGCTCACAGTGTGAAGAAGCTGATTACGAGTCAAGTTCTGCTGATCATGTCTTCAGAGTGTTAGAAGGGGCAGTTCACGGGACCCTTACAGCCCTGAATTTCTTGCTGAGCGTGCCAAGAATATATTCCTGCTTTGGATGGGCTGTCTCTTAGCTAACTGGTCTCACTCGTCTCATACTTCATCACTCCTTACATCTGTGAGTGGAGGCTTCCTATGTGAATTTCTAGCAAGTTGTTTGGTGATGAAGGGACTCTTGGTGCAGGAGCCATACCCAATAACCATATCCACTAACAGTGATTTTCAAACTTCGTTGTGTGATTAAAAACCTAACGAAAGAGACTGGTGTGGTAGCCTAGTGACCAAAGTCCTTGCCTTGCATGCGCCAGGTTCCCATATAGGCACCAGTTCTAATCTTGGTGGCCCTGTTTCTCATCCAGCTCCCGACTTGTGGCCTGGGAAAGCAGTGGAGGACAGCCCAAAGCGTTGGGACACTGCACCTGTGTAGGAAACCGGGAAGAGGCGCTGGGCTCCTGGCTTCGTCTTGGCACAGCTCCAGCTATTGAGGCCACTTGGAGAGTAAATCAACAGACAGAAAATCTTCCTCTTTGTCTCTCCTTCTCTCTACATATCTGCTTGTCCAATAAAAACAAACAAATAAACAAATAGATAAATAAATATAAAGAAAAAAAAAACAATGAAAGCAAAAATGTGGCCCTGAATTTCTAAAGTAGAAGGAAGCCTGGTTTTATTTATTTATTTGTTTATTTATTTATTTTCTCAAGGACATTTTTGATAGTAAGTTCTAGAATCACAGCCTTATTTACAGCAACAGTTCTCAATTGAGGTTGTTTCATTCCTACCAGAAGTCATTTGACAATACCCTGACATATTTTGGTCATCTCAATGAGGACATGGGAGTTGGAAACAGTCTTAGTATTGGTGTCCAGTGGAGAGAAGCCTGGTATAGCAACGTACCATAAGTGTGCATAATGCCAAACCTGAGCCTGGGGAACCCTGGGACAGAGCACAGTCTCATACTGAAGCTTTATCAATACTCTGGCTTTAAATAAAGAAACTTACACTCACAGGTCAAGCAGAGAGGTAGCAGTGGGGGTAACATATTTAATTTCAGATGGAAAGGTATTAAATATATGTATGCTGAATGTCATAGAAGACTGGGTAATAGTATTTCTGTAAAGAGAAGAAAATAAAGACAATGTATGGAAATGAAGATAGTATTGATGACCTGAGTAAAGTTCCTAAGCGAATACAAAATGTTGACATTTCATGAATGAGGAGACTGCGACTTCACTTTTGTTCCCCATGCCTTACAAACTTGAACAGCCAAAGCACAGGGAAGCTCATCCAAAACTCTAAAATGAACTCACTCATTTTCTTTTTTATTATTAGTTTTGGAGTCAGTCTTGACAGAAGCCTGGATTTCCTTGTGACTTCTGTTTACAAGTCAACAGCATCAATGTGTCCTCCATCAGAGGAAGGAATTCAGCAAATGCCTTCACATGCTTCTTATTTTCCAGATCAGCTTAGTGACCTTTTGTTTGTTCCTTGGTTGTTTGTTTTTTAATCTGACTATTCAGCTTCCTAAAAATTTCTTAAGGAGCAATTGTACTCAGAACAAATGTACTTACAGAACAAATGTACAACAAGCTTCATTAACACTTTTCACATACAAATTTGATAGTGGTTTCTTTTTAATCATGTGTAACCAGGGCTCTTGCTTTTCCCAAAGAGTTTTGATTCCTTTGAAATGAAAGGAATAATTCTCACTGTGTAACAGCCCAACTCATGTTCTGCTGCTGTTGATGCTGGCAACAAGGGAGTTGTTTTGAAAACTTTTTTTTTTTCCCTTGCACCAATAGGGTCATCTGAAGACTCCTCCACACCCTTCTCCACCACTTCAAATAAATTAGCACGAAAGGCAAGACAGCGTGACAACCAACAATCTGTCAAAACCAGAGAATAAGAAAGAAGGAGGGTTTTTTTTTTTAAGAAAAATTAATATTTAACTTACATTTAAAGTCAAACAGGGACTGCCACATTCCAGGACTGTCTGTCCCTCTCTCATTCCCTTAATAGCCCCATCCCTGTGCTTGCTTTAATACATAGCTGAACTTTAAAATTCCAAATCAAACAAAACATGCAAGCACTCTATCATATAGGCTTTTTAACGTTGTCATTCCCTGATGGGTATACAACAAAAAAGTAAAATAAATGACATGAAATATTCCCCCCAAAACTTAAGCTAAAGTATAATTTAGACTGAAATCGAAAAAAATCAATATATTCTATGTGCTAGGTATTATGTGAGCTGTCCCCCCACCCCGCCACCCAACCATTAGATCATTTAACTTTTAAAACTCATTTCAGTAGGTATTAGCACTTCAATTGAACCAGTGA